CTTAGTGTCTAGTGCAACAGATTCTAAAACGTCCCCGGAATCTGAAACTGATGCAAAACATTAGCTCGAAGTTACTAACTGAAAATTCGACAGGCTCACATGGCCCTCTTTCAATAGATGAGGATGGATCGCTCATTATGCCACCACTTATAGTGTACATCTCGGCCGATGCAGAATGTTCCACAGTCCCCGGCTATTTTAATATCCTCGTAATTGACTCCACTGGGTAGATCGTGCTTGTAGTAGATGCTTCCACTGGTAGGCAAATCAATGGTTAAACAACAAGGCCTCCAGTTCCACCACTTGAAAAAACCGCGTTTAGTCTCTGCGACTCTATAATAGAATACCAGAGGTTGCCCAGCTCGTTGCCGACCATCTTTTCCATGATGAACCGAATAAGCAAAAACACGCGGCACTGGAATATACCCTGCAATCTCACAAAGTCCAGGGTGGCGACCTCACTTGCCATTGCGAAGTGTTTCGGTTCAGTTATTAAATATGGAATTCGAGCCACAAGTTGAGTTCCATCTCGCATCACGATCTCGAAAGTGCGGTGAATCCTCCCTCGGCAAGCTTTCGAAACGACGATACGTCCGACTAGGTTGCGACCGACGCATGAAGCCGCAGCTTTTTTCAACTTTACATCTCGGGATTAATCGCATTTCACAATTATTAATCATTCATGTCGGAAAAGGGACTTACATCCAGCGACCAGAAGTATAAGCAAAATAGATGTGCGCGCCGCCGTCCATTGTACAACTGCGCGTGGAAAACAGTCGCGATGAGAGGAAAGCATTTGGTCGTGATCTGTACCTCATATTCAGGACCCTCCTTAGGTGCCGATCAGGAGGATGCTTTCCTCTGATAAATGTGGTCAGTAACATGTTTAAGGAAAGAGTAAGCAAAGGCACGGAGATGTTATCAGCATTAACATGTTAGTTATTTAACTATTTACTCTGCTTTTGACACTAATCTGCTTTTAGAATTCGATCCCAAGTTATATGTGCGCATGTAGCTACTCAGAACCTTCTCTGAGAGCAACTCTGCAAGGACACCCTTGAGCTGGGTGCCCTGATCCCTTCTGAACGAGGTAGGCACGCTCGCCAAACATGGTGTTCGGCCCACGAGACGGATGAAGGCGATCCCACTCGGCATACTGATCGTGAAAATCGAATTCACGAACCGTCATGACTAGGGTGACCTTCACGTCAAGGAGAGCGATGTTTTGCCCTATACAATCCCGGGGGCCGTGTTCGAAAGGTCTCCACGCTCCGGCAGGGGGGTACAGAGGGTGGCCATGCGGAGTAAGCCAGCGGTCCGGGATGAAAGAATGCGGGTCTGGCCAGTGATGGGCATTTCGGTGAACGCCGCTGTGCAAGACCCAGAGAGCGAAACCTTCAGTAGGGAAAGTTTTGCCAGTTTGAGGATCACGAAGAGAAACGTTTGGGATGCCTTGCCGGAGGCCATTGGCGGGCGGATAGAGACGGAGCGTTTCCTTTACCACTGCTGTTGTATAGGGGAGCCTATTGATCAATTCCGGGCGTTGTTTAAGAAGCTTAGTGCTACTAGCCAAGTCTGTGCCGAATACTGTGTCATGCTCCGCACGTACTTTAGCCAAGAGAGCCGGGTGCTTTGATAGCAGATACAGGCAGTAAACAATGGTCACTGCGGTCGAGTCATGTCCGACAAACAGAAACAAACGAATCTGTACGATAGCCCAGGCCTTGAACTGAGGTTCAAGCATTGGTGATACCGGCCTCGTCTTCATATACTCTGCAATGACTAAATCCATGATGGACTTGGCCTTGGCTGGGTCTGTCGGTTTTTTATCCTTCCATTCTTGATATCTTTTCTCCAGTTCAATCCCGATATGATGATTCATGGTCCGCCCATTGTGCCACTGTTTGAACCAACGGATTGGACTCAAGCGGCTGAAAGGGTTGCCGGTTTCGATACGACATTCCCAGTCGATCGTGTCTCTCATCGATGTTGCAATCGGGTTGTATTTCCGTTGGCTATGGAAGCGAGTATCCCTGGATAGACATTAGTCATGATTAGACATAAAAGCAATAAAACTCACAGCGCAACGTTGCCGACAATATCCATGACGCAGTTGCAAGTTTCCTGGTCCAACAGAAAGATGCCCTGCTTTTCTGCGTGCTCCCGGAGAATATCCACGAATGTCTCTGCTTCCTCAACTATCTGCGGGATATGCTCCATCGAGGCCTTCATACTAAAAGCGTGATGAAAGAGGTCTCTGGATCGCTTCCATTCCATTCCATTGCTATCAAAAAAACTTGACCCACCTGCCATCGGGGCGATGAATGGAGCGAGGACATCCGGCTTGCCAAGGTCATGAGTCTGGCACGTCTGCACAGCAAGCTCAGGCGAAGTTATGACAAGGATAGGGAATCCAAACGGCCAGACGTCGACGTAGAAGCACGATTCAAGCCCAGGAGACTCTGAAGAGAGCAGCGCAAAAGACTCTGCTTGCCGAGCATCCTTTGGAACGTGTTTGTTCAACGCAGCCAGGGCTGGGATATTTCCCAAAAAAAACCCCCACGGCGGCATTGGCTAAAACCGTTAAAAAATTATTTACGTAGCAAGTTCACGGGATTTCAAACCATTCCTTGTTTCTTGAGTTCGGTAGAAGACGAGCCGCGCCTTCGCCATTCTGTAGAGAAAGGACGTCGCGACAACTACAGCCAAAGACATAGCAATGCCTTTCCACTCAAAATTCTGGATTTCCATGACTGATACTGATGTGGTTAATAAAGGAGGGATAGATGGTAGAGGAGTGTGTAGGAGGGAAGTTACAGCCGTGGGCGGAGAAGAACAAAGAAAGCCGAAAAGGGGAAGTCTGCGTAAACACGCGCGTGATGAATGCAGGGTACCCCGGCGCTTGATAAGACAGAAGTTTGGGGCAGTTTAGCCAGTGTTCTGTCCTATGATTAAAATGCGCGTTGAGGCACTTATTTAAGCCCAATGGTGCGCCTTTTCTCTAGTCCCACACCAGCATCTGCACTGCCGTTGTCAAAATTATTAGCAAGAACAGCATAGCAAGAATCCATAAAAGCACCTTCCTTGTAGGTTATATCCACATCATTCTACTAGCTACTGACTGTCCTAGATTTCTACATCTATCCTCTTTGGGCTTGCAATACTCGGCGTTCTGATATGGGTTCTCGTCCGAATCTACTTGCGAAGAGGGAGGCTCGCGGTTTATGATGTGTTTATTGTCGTAGCCTTCGCATTTCAAATCTCCAGTTCTGTACTTATGTATCAGGAAGTGATAGACCGCATGTACATGTTCTTTGCTCTGCAGACTGGAGTCCAAGGTATTGTCCCTCCTGCTGATTGGCAAAACATGTCCCAAAGGTACCACTTCTGGAGTAGCATTTGCCTCGCAACAACTTGGTGTACATTCTACGCAGTGAAGCTGAGCTTCCTTTTTTCCTTCAAGAGATTGGTTGATCAACTGGTGGGCTGTCACTATATTCGGCCTCGCTAGGTCATTGCATCGCAGGTACTTGAGCATTTATTTGGGGGCTGTCTATGGTTACATGATATCGGTGAGGAAGAACACTGGTTTCCGCTACAGTGCGCGAAGAACATGATCTTAACATCTTTCTAGACTGCCACTGAGATCTTTAACAACACCGACATCCTCAAAGCCGTTCGCGAAGAAGCTCAATCTTGCCTCCTTGAATCACTTCCAGAGCAAGGGTTGCGATTTTTGATATTGACCGCCTCCTTCATCAACCTGTTCTCCATGCCGTCTATGCTGAAACCCTGCGACTTCGTGTCAACGGCTTCTTCGTCTGGCACAAATCAAAAGAGGATATTGATATCCACGGCTGACACATCCCTAAAAGCCATTTCGTCCTGACGAGTCCCATTCCATAGCATATGAACGGAACCCTACGATTTGGTGCGCTGGTGATACTCACAACGGAGAACAGAAGCCGGTGCATGATTCTCCGCTGGGCGGTGGCTTAAACATTCTCCTGGGAGAGACAGCCAGTCGGAGGTAGAATTCACCGCCGAATTATCTAAAGGCGTATGGATGTCATTTGGGAAAGAGCATCATGCTTGTCCAGGGAAGCAGTTTGCTAAAGGTTTTGGTTTCAATGGCGATGTTAGTGATGCATTATGATTGTGAAGTGCTGACTGACGTGCAAGCATTGAAGCTAAGTATGCGGAACTTTGGATTTGGAACGCTGAGACCTGTTAAGAAAGTAGCTGTGAGAATGAGGAGGCGGCGTGTCTATTCTAGATTCTAGATATAACTCTCTCTTCAACAATGTCCACATCTTAGTGTTAGGTTCCAAGTGGTTTACTGGGCTCTACCAAATCTTTGCACTAAGTGTTCGCATTGACTAGGTGACATGATTCAAGATTGAAGATACAATCCTGTATAGTGACAATTGTTGTTACAGCATCACCCATATTGATCGAATAACAGGCTAGTTATTTGCATGAGACATCGCAACATAGTCGTTTCCACTTGCGCTAGGGCTAGGGTTTAGAGTGGGTGACGGCCGGAAACAAAAATTTAAGCTTTTCTCCGGGTGATAGCGTCTGGGATACAGACAAGGCCGTGGTTAATAATGAGGCTCTCTAACTGTTTCCTTTTGTTAGAAACGAAGCCCTACCTTAGTCCTGGATTCCCTTGTAACACATGTGGGCAACCCACTCAGCATAGATAATGCCAAGATGCCGCTTTCGTAGACGGATGAAAAACAAAGGTGAGATAAGGCGAGGAATATTAATAATGGCTTGGGATAGATATACAACTAATATCAAAAAAAAAAAAATATTAAGATTTCCGAAACGGGAATCAACCCCCGAGCGACTGTGAATCTACTTCAATATGTAATGAGACAGTTAGGTTGCGCGTTACCCCAATTAGGATGAAGTCGGGTGTGGAGTTTTCCGCACCATGCCTGGATTTTTCTTTTTAGGGAAAATGAAAAGGGAAAAAAAGGCAAAAAAGAAACCTCCGAAACGGGGAATCGAACCCCGAGCTGCTGTGCACTGTACTCAAAGTGATTATTGAGAGACAGCGATGTTGACCATTACACCATTTCGGATTGGAGAAACTGGTCCTCTTTACGATAGATGAGTATGATCTTAAGAAATTCTAAAGTGACACGGAAAGATTAGTTGTCCCACTCGATGACAATTACAACCCCTAAAAATTTCTTTGCTTTGTGGTGTTCTTGTTAATAGCTGAAAGAGTATCATAAGCCTTTTATTCTTTTAGAACACTATTTTGCTATAACAAAGCTGCCAAATTTACTTCAAACTCGCATACACCTAACTACTGATCCCCGCAGTGGTATTCTCACCTTTACATACCTTCAAAAGTAGCCATCAAGGAACCTAACTCCGCAGTTAGCCAAATTATCTCATTTAAAAGCTATCGCCAAGTGCAGGGATAACTTACCAATAAAAGTTGTAACGAGGCGAGAGCGGACTTGGCAGATATCTTCTGGCACGAGCCAAATAGTTGCCCCCATCTTCCTAGCAATACTGATGCTCAACTTTGCATTCGCATAGGCATCATCTGGAGTTTTTCCTGCGGTGACCAGATCATAGTCAACATAACTGGACTTCATGCCACTGAGCACGTCCAGAAGAAACACGCCAGTGCCAATGGAACCGTCCTTGAAGCTGCGTATCGTAGATTTGCGACCACCCTTCTGTGACATGTCATTGGCCCACCGAATCATTTCTGCATCGGTGATCTCGCGTTTGCCCATCCTCTGTGCCAGGGAAGAAAGAGTGTTGGTAATGTCTTTTCGCATAAGTTGCCACACCAATCCGAGAGTCAGAGTTCGTTGGCCATCAGTAATATCAGCTCCTTGGATGCCCACAAGAGAGAATCGGTTCTGCTTGCCGAGCTCAATAGCATAGTTTGTATTCTCTACCGCTTTGAACCGCATGATCTCACCACCAGATGGCGGGGGTTTGTTCACATGTCTCCAATTGACGCTACCAGGGATGACCTTATCGTATGCCTGAAGAAGGATGGTGCCGTCGCGAAGATCATCAAAGAGCGAGTTGACGGCAGGTTGAACATCCAATGAGTTCAACCACAAAGTGAAGACACGGGCCTCTCTTTCGCCTTCGGCATCAAAGTCCTCGACTTCTAGCTTGTCTTCTTCGGTGATTGGGTCCAAGCCTGGATGGGTGTTGAAAAGGTTGGCGACAAATGCAAGGTTAAGCTTCGGGTTCCCAGCAACAAGAGATGTGGGAGTCAGAAACTTGCGGCAATCCAAGAGTTCTGCATTCGACAAAACTTGTTCGGCACGCTGAAGGAGATCTCTTGTTTGAAGAGGGGCTCGCGAGCAAACATCAGGGGCCAGTTGGTTGAGGAGAACAGTGTAGTTCTCTCCATCCTTGACATCTGTGGAAAAGTTGTTGACCCTATTCTCTCTGTTAGTCATCCTTAAACAATCGGTCTGTGCACCCACCAACCTTCGTTCCCACTTGGCATTTTTCAAGTGATAATTGAACCAGCGGAGTAGAATTTGCTCTGGTGGTAGGCGCAAGAACTGCTCCAAAGTCTCATCCTCTTCAAGAAGTCGATACAGCTCTGGGTGTAGCTTGATGTCAATTTTTCCCAGAAGACCACGACGAATGATTTGCCAGATCAAACCCAGAATCAAGTGCTCGCGGACCTCGATAATGTCACCACTTCCAATATTCACAACAGAGCACCCGATACCCTTGGCAGAGTTAATCACAATGTTGTTGTTTTCCGTCATGTGGAAAGCATTCAGCTGCTTGATTTTGACTCCTGGTCTGTTCAACACACGCTCATCTATAGTGTCGGGGACACTGTCGTTGATGAGCTTAGCCAAGACGAGACCGTCTTTGCACTGGTCAAACATCTGAAAAGTGTCGGTAGGGAACGGTAGAAGGTGGCCGATATCAGGGTCCCCCGCCAGAACGGCGTTGATGTGCCGCGTAAATTCAGTTCGTTCATCTTCGTTGATCGTATGCGTTACATTAGCCGAAGAGCCTTGCACATGGATTTTACCCCCAACACTTCCTTTCGAGACATGATGAGAAGGGCCTGCACCACTTCCGGCACTAGGGTTGGCAGCTTGAATGGGATTCGGAACTTTGGCAGGAGCACTGCCCGAGTCTCGCACTTTGGAGATGAGCTACATGGCGCGGCATTAGAGCTTGCAGTAGTAAGGCGCACCCTGGAAGGGACTTCTTACATCGATGTAATCCTCAAACTCCACGCGTCGCGAGCTGTCGAGCTCCACTTCCTTCAAAGCTTGTCTAACTACATCGTATGGTAAGCGCTCGGACTGCTGGGTGGCTTTGATCGCGGTGGCCTCGTCAAGATAGCCTTTATCGTCGATATCGAGTTTATGGAAAGCGTCCTGAAGGGAGAAGAGCTCGTTCTGCGGGAATTGGGGATACTTCCTGTGGCACAGTTAGCAAGAGCGATCTTTCTCAATTGGCCATTGGAAGACCGGCAGAAAGCCGATATTCGCCCGCAAAGGCCCTGGATGGAAGAAACCAGCATACTTCTGAAGCCTAAGGACGTTCATGGTGGACGCGCACAGTCGCGGGCTGTGAGTCGGTACGCGGCGGGGTAGAATCGAAAATGACGGGAGGTCGATGCCAAAGGGGGCGTGTCAGTTCTCACTTGGAGACAAAGACGAAGAATATAAAGCGCCGAAAAGGGGCTGCCTAGACGCGACGGGCTAGGGGGAGAGTGAAGGAGAGAGAATGAACACAAGAGAGAGAGAGGTTATGTTGTCGCCTGGCTTGTCTGCAGTTTCCAGCAAGAGCGATGGCAAAGCGGGGCAGGCACCCAATCAGGCGTGGCGCAGGCAGTGCCAGCCTCGTCCGCGCGTGAGCTGTGTGCAACAAGCAACGAGCAACAAGCAACGACAATAATAATGCTGCGTCCTCCTCCTTCGTGCCGCATAGGAAGCTTATCTTGCGTACGGCTGCTGCCTACCAGCATCTGGGCTCTGAAGCCAGCCGCAATGCATACATACAGGTGTGGGTGCTGGATGATGCGGGCGCCAAGCCATGACGTCTGCTGTTCAGGTGGGTCGCAGCCAAACCGTCGAAGAGCTAATAATGAATTAATTGCACGTGCAACAACACCCCCCGGCTCATGCTAATAATATGCGTGCGTGTGTTTCTTGATTATTTCTTCATTGCCATCGCTCTCAGAGATGAAATAAGCCGCACACCGCCCTGGCTCGAATACATCCCCTTCTGCGCTTCCGGCGGCCGACAATGCCCGTTGTCGACGCAAAGCCGTCATTCCTCGAAGCAATCTCGCCGTGGTCAGCCTCGCGAGCCTCAACCCCCCAGCCTGAGCGACAGCCTGCCGGTGAAGCAGAGAGCCTCAAGCAAACCCAAGGACAAGACCATGTCACCTCGCATCGAAAAAGGCTGAGCTCGCTACGATATCCCGATGATTGCCCCCCTCTGCATCCTCGATGGTTCTATGCCGTCGATATACCCAAATCCAAACCGGCGTTTTTGACCTTGGACAGGGCCGAGACAAAGCCCTTGCCTCCGCCCAAAAAATTCGTTCCTTTTTTACTCAAAGATTCCCAGTCTGTGGAGGACGCTTTTCAGCATCTGATAAGATGTGAAGATCGTGTGAATGCTTCCGAGGCCTCCAGCGACAGCCATACGCAGTTCAAGGACTCGGATGCTACAATCAAGGTCCCCGTCAACGAAGACAACCTTTATGACGTTGACGTTGATAAAAGGGAGCTCAGCCCAGCCTATTGGCTAGGTCCGGTCTACGAAGTAAGACGAGGGACTTGGTTTTTCCAAGAAGGCTCAACGTTGAAGCCCTGCGAGGAAAACCTCGCCACGCAAATAGAAGAAGGTTATTTGAGGTTGCGGCCCTGGCAAATCCAATTTTCACAACAGAAGGCCAAGGTCAAAACGGAATCCAGTGATGAACCCCAAAAATCAGCCGGTCATTCGAGATCCGCTTCTGAATCTGCTAGAAAGCAGCACACCGAGGAAGAGTGCATAGCTCGGGACGGCCACAGCATCAATTCAGCGTTGAATGCCCAGTTGCCAGTTCATCGTCTGTTTGGTTCATACATGAACAGCACAATTACCTATCAAGACTCATCCGTTGCTTGGCTAAACTCAGATGACTTCATGTCTCGGATGAGCAGCACGGTTTATCAGAGGCTTGGAGGTGTTGGAGGTACTAAGGTGGTCAGGGGCTACACGGATCCGGGACGGCCCAAGGATCCGGTTGATGGAAAAGGCTCGACAGCAAAGACGCCTTCGTCCGCTACTCCCGTAGAACCAGGTCCCGTTGTCGAAAGTGACACCAGCAAAGAACGTCAAAACTATGGATCATCCGAGAAAGTGCATGGTTTCGATGAACGGGGCAAGACAGATACGCGTCGAGATTCGACTGGGCATCGCGCAACCCTACAGCGTCAGATATCATCATTGAATGGTGAAGCTGAGAACGTTGCGGAGCTTGAGGAAGAGGTAAGGAGACAGGAAGAGAAAGAGATGGAGGACTCGAGAGAGGCAGATGGCGAAGAAAGAGACAGAGAAATCGATCATTTGGTCCTTGTTACTCATGGCATTGGACAGCGTCTTGGAATTAGATTGGAGAGCGTTAATTTTATCCACGATGTTAATGTCTTGAGGAAGACAATGAAATCTGTTTACGGCGCCGCGCCTGATCTGCAAGCACTCAATTTGGAACACCCTGATGCGAGGAAAAATTGTCGCGTACAGGTTCTGCCTGTGTAAGTCTGTAGCATTGTTATCTGATTGAGAAAAATGTCTTACTAACGTACGAAATAGCTGCTGGAGACATCTGCTGGACTTTCCTCGACAAGGGTTACGCCAAAATCGCAAAGAATTCGACCTTGCGGATCCCAGCAGTCTTTCTGCTGAAGATGTAGAGTACCCTACCTTGGCTGATATAACATTGGAAGGAGTACCCGCTGTCCGCAACCTGATTTCTGACCTGGCTATGGACGTCCTTCTGTATCAGAGCCAGTACAGAGAGCATATAATGGGAATTGTCCAACGGGAATGCAACCGAATCTTCCAGCTT